AAAATCCCGAGCACATGGGGCATGGTCAGGCCAGGGACGTGAGGGGATGAGAGGAAAGTGGAGACAGTCAGACAGACAGCTCTCAATACCGGGGACTCGGGGAGGGGATGCCAGCCATGAGTCACAGAACGCGGTAAGGAATCAATAGAAATCATCAAGTAATGACGGCCGCCAACTTTTTGGACACTGCTCAAATTCAGAGGCCAGATCGAAAAAGGGATGTTAAAAGCCCGGCGAGAGGGGCGGCGGCTGGAACAGACGAGTAGAAAGACACGAAATGAATCAGCCCTGCGGCCAGTTTATTTAATTAGTTACACAAACAATGGGAATGGAAAGTACATCGGCCCCACTAGCCGTTTCCGATAGTAGCCCCCGCAAGGCAAATACAGGAAAAAACCTTTAGTCAACAATCGGGGTTACGGGGAGGCGCAACCGTGCGGGGCAGACGATGAGCATGGTTGGAAGGACTGCTGCGAGCAGCGAGGACCCTCTTTACAGGGTACTTGTTGAACCTAGGTTCATCCGTCTGTCTGAGTCCTGTGCCCCTAGAACTGTTGAGCCTAGGTTCTTACGTCAGCCATACCTTATGGATGTGCAATTTTTGAGTCTATAGGTTTATAGTCTATGTTTTGTGTCTATAGAACTATTGAGACAGGGTTCATAAATTAATCTAAGTCTTGTGTCCGTAGAACTGTTGAGCCTAAGTATACATGTCTGTCTATTTTTAGTGTCTGTACAACTGTTGAGCCCTCTGCTTATACGTCTGTCTATGTCTTGTGTTCGTAGAATAGCGCCTAAGAAAAAAACTGCAGCATGGGAAAGGTTGAGTCTTTTTCTTTAGTTTTCGTTTTCGTCAGCATTGGAAAAGGTCCAAAACGACCGTAATAGCCAGAGACAAAACGGCCCTTGTTTTGAACGTCTTCGTGAGCAAAATGTTATCTCAATGTTGCACGCCCTGTCACTTGCAGAGTGGTCTAGAGTTACTGGGAAAGTGCAAAATGGCGACTTGTTACATATCCATGGCCGAAGAAAAACAATTTCTTAAAGCACTTCCGCACAGAATTAATACAAATTCGCC